ATGTGACTAAACCCCCAGAAAACCCTCTTTCTCTAGCAAGTACCATTCCTTGCGATGGAGTCTTGCTCTGTCACCCAGGCTGGAGTGTAGCTCGATCTTGGCTCACTGCAACCTCTGCCTCCTGAGTTCAAGTGATTCTCCTGCCTCAGCCTCCCAAATAGCTAGGACTACAGGTACCCGCCACCACGCCTGGCTAATGTTTGTATTTTTAGTAGAGACAGGGTTTCACCAAGTTGGTCAGGCTGGTCTTGAACTCCTGACCTCAGGTGATCCACCTGCCTCAGCCTTCCAAAGTGCTGGGATTACAGGCATGAGCCACCATGCCTGGCCTCTTTACCCCCATTTTTATGGCATGGCCGAATAAGGGAGTGGGGAGAGAGGTGAAGCAGCTGGAAAGTGAGGAGAGAAGGCTCACACTCCTGTAGACAGCCAGCATCATTTGACTACAGCTTCCAGATGACTGTTTGGTTTCATTCCACTGAAATCCTGGCACTTTTACTTGGGTCTTGTGGTCATTTAAGGTCATTTAAACCTATCTCAACCCAGATGCAGAGAAGACTGTAATACAGTCAGGAACAGAGGAAGCTAGTCAAGATAATAGATAAGGCAGGTGGCAGGGAAGGCCTTGGCAGGGCACGGTGGCTCATGTCTGTAATCCCAGCACTCTGGGAGGCCTAGGCTGGAGGATCGCTGGAACCCAGGAGTTTGAGACCACCCCGGGCAACATCGCAAGACCCTGTCTTTACCATGTCCAGCAAATTTTGTTTATAAATACAATTATAAACATAATTACTTATAAGTAAAATTAGCCAGGCATGGTGGCACGTGCCTGTAGTCCCAGCTCCTCAGGAGGCTGCGATGGGAGGATCACTTGGGCTCAGGAAGTCAAGGCTGAAGTGAGCTATGATCACGCCACTGCACTCCAGCCTGGGTGACAGAGTGAGACACTGTCTTAAAAAACAAAAATTAAAAACAGAAGGAAAGACCTTAATCCCACGAGCAACTATAACCATTATAATAGAGGATAGTTTTATGGCTATAATTCTTTGGGAAACTTCTACTGCCAGGTGGCCAAGCACTGTGAAGTTCTCGAATTGAACTTCAGGTTGAAAGATACCTGAAGGAACTCTTGGAGACCCGTTCTCTTAATTTAAGGATGAGGCACAGAAGGTGTCATTGCTGAAGTCAAAGTCTCACAGCAAGTCATAAAGGAGGCAGAATGCGAGGCTCAGTCTGCTGAGTCATAATCCAGTGACCTTCCTTCGGGTTGCCTGCACGCATTTCCTCACTCGCTCCTCAATTCAGCACAGTCCAGCCTTCCTCCAGGAATACAATTTTGCCCTCATCGTGAACCATCTGTAGTCTCACTCATTATTTGGCTTATTCAGTCATTTTGCAGCTATATATCTGGAACCCAGCATGTGCCAGGGGCACGACAGGAACATGACAGATCCAGCCCCTGTCCCAAGGTGATCACGATTTGCTTCAATTCCTCACCGCAGCCACGCTTCGGGGATTCAGTCTTCCCCCTCAGAAAGAACTGCTTCTCTCCCTACTATGAGACATGCTTTACTTTCACAGTGAAAGCATTCCTATTAATGTTGCTATGAGAGAAAAACAAAACACAGCAAAACAGGAGACCTAGTTTACGGTAGACTTAGTGTCTAAAGATAGTGAATTGGCTTTGGATTTTAATCAAGCTTTCAGGCTGTAATAAGAATTGAATTGCAGGTGTCCCTGTGGTTTATTTCACAGAATGACAGTTGAAGGTGGCCTCCGTATTTTTTTTACAATAGCTATAAATGCTGCTCCCCCAAAAAGCTGTTTGCTAACATCAACTTTTTAAGGGATGTAGTCACTATTAATCCAAATGAAGCCCTAAAAAGCTGTGGCTATACTGGAGCATTCAAGAGGGTTAGCTATGAGAAGGTATGACTCCAGCAATGAAGTTATATAATCAGCAAAAAAAAAAAAATACAACCCCGACAGCTTAGAAAGATTTTCTGCTGTTCTTTCTTAGAGGAGGTTTAATCTAGCCTAAGTCTAAGAAGATTTGTCTCAAATTGACAATGCAGGCTTAAATAGTTTATTATTTTAAAAGGTGATATAACCATTTTCATTCTTCATTGACTTCTGAGTTCTTTTCTCAATTTGTAATTATTGCGATGTTGGAGAGATTATTGGCATAGATAGCTTTTCCAATTCCCTCATTGTTATGTTTTCAAATAGGAATAAAAGAAAAGCAACCAGCAATGACTCCATGGGAAAGGAAATCCAAATGTGTGAATCCCTGTTTCCTTTGGAAATAAGAATCAGTGTTTCTGACATTGAAAATAGATTTCTGCAGCAAAGTGTATCATTTACAAAGATTGTGACTCAGGATGAAGAAGGTAGAGAGATTATATTAATTTAATTGTACTTGTTCTTGGGGAAGCATTGTCAGTGGGTGAGATTTTCAAATCACCTATGCGCAGGGTATACAGGAAATACAGAATAAATTATTTTTACAATCAATAAGCAAAGTTAACTTTAAAAATAAAGTTTTGGCCAGGGTGGTGGCTCATGCTTATAGTCCCAGCACATTAGACGGACAAGGCAGTAAGACTGCTTGAACCCAGGAGTTCAAGACCAGCCTAGGCAACATAGTGAGACTTCATATCTACAAAAACCTTTAAAAATTAGCCAAGTGTGGTGGCATGTGCCTGTACTCCCAGCTACTTGGGAGGCTGAGGTGGGAGGATCACTTGAACCTGGGAGGTGGAGGTGGTAGTGAGCTGAGATTGCACCACTGCGCTCCAACCAGGGCAACAAAGCAAGGTTCTGTCTCAAAAACAATAAATACAAAATAAGGAAGTTTTAAGGGTGAGAGATATCTGGACCATCATAAATGCTAGTAATAAAATTCCTAACTCTGTGATGATGTGTTTGGGGAAGTAGTGAGTTGAAGTCATGTAAAATGTACCATGGTTCTTTAACCCACTTTGAAGCTAAAGTTGAACACATATTTCCAATAACTGGGTTTCATTAAGAAATACAGAATGAAACATATTAAGGCAATTCTCTTTCTTTCTTTTTTGGCCTGAGGAAGTACAGGAATTTAGGATCAAGTATGGTTTACCAATGATGAGGCCGGGCACGGTGGCTCAGGCCTACAATCTCAGCATTTTGGGAGTCAGAGATAGGTGAATCTCTTGAGCTCAGGAGTTCGAGACCACCCTTGGCAACACAGGGAGACCCCATCTGTCTCTCTCTCTATATATAATAATTGAACAAATAAAAGATGAACCCAATTAAAAACAAACAGACTTACCACATGCCATCTCTTCTACCTGATTCCTAAAGTGAAAAAAGGGCCAAGAGGGGCCCCTGGAGAAAGAACGACTATAAGACGTGCAGAGTGACAACAGGGTCTCCACACACACTCTTCTTTCCCTTTAAAAATTCCCCCCTTTCTAGGCAGTGTTCTATAGCAGAAGGAACAGTGTTGAAATACCCCAAAATAAGTTTAGAAGTTGAGTCTGAAGAGAGACACAGCATGGATTCCTCAAATGGGTACCTCGGAAAGTCCATGTTATTTCAGGGCCTAACTGAGGCATCCATGCTTGAATATTTCTTTTGATTGTCATTAGAAATCTCCTGGATTTAGTTAAGTATTCTCTCTTTATCCCCTGGCACTCGCTGTAGACTAATGATGTGCATACTTGACACAAAATCTCCTAACACATTTTGCTTTAGTAACTTCCTAGTTAAAATTTTATTTCATTTTCTTTACTGGGGCCAAGGTACAGTTTTACTATTTGACTGTGAAAAGTCTATATTTTACCAAAAAACAAGGAGCAATTTTTAAGGTAATAAACCCACAACTTGTGGCAGATTTGTAAATGTATCAAATTTGCAGAAAGCAGAGGCAGATAGTAATTCCCATAATGACATGAAAGCAAATGACAATTGTTTCCCTGAAGGCATCCTGGAGTATGAAAATGTCCTTAAAAAATATATGTTCCCTCTTTGAGATATGTACACTTGTAATAGAATTTCTAATATGCACAACGATGAAAGCTTGCCCCATGTATTTGTAAAACAAATAAATAAAACCAAGTAACCAAAGGGGAAAGTAAACAGCATTTTCTTTCACTTAACTACTTTCAAACTTTTCTTGCTGTTATTTTATCATTCAATATGGTTTTTTGTTTTGTTTTGTTTTATATCTAGGCTGTGACAAACATTTTAAAAAAATATGGAAACCCCTCTGAAAATAGAATTCCTTCCTTTGTTATCAGGAATCTAGGTTAAAGTAGATGTAAGGAGACATACGGATTACCTTACAGGCCTTTTGGAATACCCAGTGTGACTCCAAAGGAAAGAGTGGAAGTGGCTGCATTGTTTTAAAAGCCAGTTTCAATTTGCCATCATTTGCCAGTTCCAATCTATCAATGGCATATTCCATATGTATGTGTGTTATATATGTGTGTGCATGTATATGTGTATATACATTCATATAGATAGCTGTGTGTTATATATATGTGTATGTATAGATACACATGTGTGCATATATATACACATATAGATACCTCTGTGTGTGTGTGTGTGTGTATATATATATAGAGAGAGAGAGAGAGAGGAAGAGAGACAAGTTTAAATCAACGAGAATGTTTCCTACATAGAGGTGATGACCCCTCAAGATTCCTCCATGACTCAAGGCAAATTCAAACTGACTTTTAAAACAATCCAGTCACTTCCACTCTTCCCTCTGGAGTCACACTGGGTATTCCAACAGCCCCGTAAGGTTATTCTTACATCTCCTTTGTCAAATAAAATAAATAATGTCATTCTTTCAGCCAATACTCATACACCCCATCCTTCCTAGGCAAATCGTGGCACTGTGATTAAGCACTCAGTCTTCAGAGAGTTTAACAACCAGCCATAGACAGCGACTTCAGCACAGTCGGGGGGGGAAAGTACATTTTACCTCCCCCGCCAAACAAAGCCATTATATTTACCTGCTACTTTGAAGATAGTAAAATGCGGTCGGCAATGGAAAGAACCCAACGCGTTACCTGCGCAGTTCATCCATAGACCCTGGTAAACCCAAGTGGCTGTTATCACCGAGGAGGCTCGCGTGGTCACTTTCCACTCATTGGACGTGGTAGCAGCAACGAGAGCTCCAAACCCTCCGACACCAGACACCAGAGCCCAGATCTGCGCCCTGGACATGTCGCGCCGCCTTCGCCAGTGACACTGTCGGGACAGAACGCTTTGGTGGTCTAGGCATGCAGCCGATAGAGAACACTTTGACAAGCGTCACAGCCAGCGGATGTGGGTAGGTGACAGCGTTTCATGCTCGGATGGCCTGAGGAAGTACAGGAATTTAGGATCAAGTATGGTTTACCAATGACATTTTAAAGATGGCCTGAAAGAGTCGTTCTGATTTTCTACACGGATATTTATTAAAATTTCGTAGATGAATTTTAAGGGTTTTGATTTCGCAGATTTTTTTTTAACTTGCCACCATAGTTAATGCTTAATTTTCTGTTAGCCTGAAGCTTAACGAACCGTGCAACTACCAGATATTACAAAGTACAAATTATACAGTAACAGTTAAGGCTTATTTGATCAATTGCTTTAGTCTCACCTGCTTTTGAATCTTTACATAATTGAATCATATTGTAGAAATTCTCCTATAACCTATTTTTTTTTTTTCACATAACACTGTATTTGAGGGATTTATCCATGCTCAGGAATGTAGTTGTCATTCATTAACTCTTACAGCTGAATATCGTATTTCATTAAATGCAATTTAAGGAACACGATTTATTCATGTTCCTGGAGCTGAACATTCGTGCTGTTCCCTTTTCTCCCTAATAACCATTGGCGCAGCTATAAACATTCTTGGGCATTTCTTCTTGTGCATGTGAGCGAGAGTTTCTCTAGGGCATATCCTAGAATCAGAATTTTGCTAGGATGTAGGAAACACTCATCTTTAACTTTATAGACAATGCTAAATTGTTTGACTAAGTAGTTACAGCAATTTAGAGTCCCACTAGCAGTGGGTAGGTCCTCCGTGTTCCGCTTCATAACACGGTACCTGTGGGGTTGTTGAGACTGTTATTTTTTAATTTTGGCCAGTCTGATGGGTATAAAGGTGTCACATTATGATTACTAATTTATATTTTCTGATTACTAAGGAGGTTGAGCATCTTTTTGTGTGTTTATTGGCGATGTTTTTGTCTACAATGAAATATGCAACTTTTGCTCACTTATCTATTGAGTTGTTTGACTTTTTATAATTTATTTTTAGTTATCTATATACTCAAGATAGTAATCTTTTGTGGATTATTTATGTTGCGGGTATCTTCCCCCAGTTGGTGGTTTCTCTTTATGTGGCCATTTGAGAAACAGTCTTGGTTTTAATATAGCTAAATTTATCAAGTTTCACCAAGTGATTTGTGGTTTGAGATCTTGATTAAGAAATCCCTATCTTGGGCCTGGCATGGTGGCTCCCAGCTGTAATCCCAGCACTTTGGGAGGCCGAGGTGGGAGGATCACTTGAGGCCAGGGGTTTGAGACTAGACTGGGCAACATATTGAGACACTGTCTCTATAGAAAATACAAAAATTAGCTGGGTGTTGTGGTGCAGGCCTGTGGTCCCAGCTACTTGGGAGGCTGAGGTGGGAGGAGGATGGCTTGAATCTGTGAGGTCAAGGCTTCAGTGAGCCATGATTGCACCACACACTCCAGCCTGGGTGACAGAGCTGAGACCTCGTCCCAGAAAAGAAAAGAAAAGAAAAGAAAAGAAATGAAATGAAAAAAAATGAAAAAAGAAAAGAAAAGGAAAAAGGGAAAAAAAGAAAAAGAAAAAGAAATCTCTATCTAAAAGAAAATAACTTTTTTCCTCTTCACTTCAAAAAATTTCAAACTTTTAACTTACATATTTAAGTGTTTAAATAATCCAGATTGATTTTTTTGTGTCATGTGATTTGGGACCTATTTTATTTTGCAATGTGGAAACCCACTTTTCCAATTTTCTTGTGTAGTCCCTTGTTTCTCTATTGATCTGCAATGTTACCTCTCTCATACATATTGGGCATCAATATTCACATGATCTGGTTTTGGATTCTTTACTCTGTTCCATTTATCTGCTTGACTGTTCCTAGGCCAGTACAATACTTTCTTAACTACCCTAATTTTATAAATATATCTCAAAATCTTGTTGGTGAGTGTTTTACCTTGCTTACCTTGCTCTTCTTTTTCAAGCATGTTTGGATTTTTTTTAGCTCTTTGCTATTTCTTATATATTTTTATTTATTTATTTATTTATTTAGAGACATAGTCTCACTCTGTTGCCCAGGCTGGAGTGCAAAGGCGCAATCTTGGCTGACTGCAACCTCTGCCTCCCGGGTTCAAGTGATTCTCGTGCCTCAGCCTCCCGAGTAGCTAGGACTACAGGTGCCCATCACCACACCTGGCTAATTTTTGTATTTTAGTAGAGACGGGGTTTCACCATGTTGGCCAGACTGGTCTCAAACTCCTGACCTTAGGTGATCCACCTGCCTGGGCCTCCCAAAGTGCTAGGATTACAGGCATGAGTCACTGTGCCTGGCCCTTATATATTTTAGAATCAGTTTATCAAATTAGACACATACACATACATAATAGATTGGGAGGTTTGTTGGAATTGTTTTGCACCTATTATTCAGTTTGAGGAAAATGGATAGCTTTATAAAATCAAGTCTTCCTGTTCATGAACATCATATATCTCTTCATTTATTTAACCCATCTTTAATGCTTTTAGTGAAGTTATATACTTTAATCTCTAAAAACAGTTACTTTTTTGTTATATTTATTCTTAAAGTTAGGACTCATTCTAACATCTATTTTGTACTTACAGTTTGTTCAGTTTTTTTCTTGAGTACACATATAGTTTTTCTCCTTTCTTGAGTTGTTTTGAAATTGGGACCTTTTTTCACATTTCAATTTTTCTCTCCATTAAATCGGAAATTACACTTTATTTGCATTGTTTAATGATTACTAATAGAAGCTTTAATGTATATTTAGCTTAATATATAAAAGTAACTGGCCAGGTACGGTGGCTTACGCCTGTAATCCCAGCACTTTGGGAGGCCAAGGCAGGTAGATCAGCTGAGGTCAGGAGTTCGAGACCAGCCTGGCCAACATGGCGAAACCCCCTCTCTACAAAAGTACAAAAATTAGCTGGGCATGATAGCAGGTGCCTGTAATCCCAGCTGCTCAGGAGGCTGAGGTGCAAAAATCACTTGAACCTGGGAGGCAGAGGTTGCAGTGAGCTGACATCATGCCATTGCACTCCAGCCTGGGTGAGAGAGCGAGACTCTATCTCAAAAAGAAAAAAAATATCATCATCTCAATAGAGGCAGAAAAGACCTTTGATAAAATTCAATACCCCTTCATGCTAAAAACTCTCAATAAACTAGGTACTGATGAAACGTATCTCAAAATAATGAGACCTATTTATGACAAACCCACAGCCAATATCATACTGAATGGCCAAAAGCTGGACGCATTCCCTTTGAAAACCAGCACACAACAAGGATGCCCTCTCTCACCACTCCTACTCAACGTAGTATAGGAAGTTCTGCCCAGGGCAATCAGGCAAGAGAAAGAAATAAAGGGTACTCAAATAGGAAGAGAGAAATTCAAATTGTCTCTGTTTGCGGAAGACATGACATGATTTTATATTTAGAAAACCCCATCATCTCAGCCCAAAATCTCCTTAAGCTGATAAGCAACTTCAGAAAAGTCTCAGGATACAAAATCAATATGCAAAAATCACAAGCATTCCTATACACCAATAACAGACAGAGAGCCAAATCATGAGTGAACTCCCATTCACAATTGCTACAAATGGAATAAAATACCTAGGAATACAACTTACAAGGGATGTGAAGAACCTCTTCAAGGAGAACTACAAACCACTGCTCAAGGAAATAAGAGAGGACATAAACAAATAGAAAAACATTCCATGTTCATGGATAGGAAGAATCAGTATCATGAAAATGGCCATACTCCCCAAAGTAATTTATAGATTCAATGCTATCTCCATCAAGCTACCATTGACTTTCTTCACAGAATTAGAAAAAGCTACTTTAAATTTTATATGGAACCAAAAAAGAGCCTGTAGTGCCAAGACAATCCTAAGTGAAAAGAACAAAGCTGGAGGCATCATGCTACCTGACTTCAAACTATACTACAAGGCTACAGTAACCAAAACAGCTTGACACTGGTACCAAAACAGATATATAGACCAGTGCAACAGAACAGAGGCCTCAGAAATAATGCCACACATCTACAACCATCTGATCTTTGACAAACCTGACAAAAACAAGCAATGGGGAAAGGATTCCCTATTTAATAAATGGTGTTGGGAAAACTGGCTAGCCATATGCAGAAAACTGAAACTGGACCCCTTCCTTATACCTTATACAAAAATTAACTAAAGATGGATTAAAGACTTAAACATAAGACCTAAAACCATAAACACCCTAGAAGAAAACCTAGGGAATACCATTCAGGACACAGGCATGGACAAAGACTTCATGACTAAAACACCAAAAGCAATGGCAACAAAAACCAAAATTGACAAATGGGATCTAATTAAACTAAAGAGCTTCTCTACAGCAAAAGAAATTATCATCAGAGTGAACAGGCAACCTATAGAATGGGAGAAAACTTTTGCAATCTATCCATCGGACAAAGGGCTAATATCCAGAATCTACAAGGAACTTAAACAAATTTACAAGAAAAAAAAAAAAACCATCAAAAAGTGGGTGAAGGATATGAACAGATACTTCTCAAAAGAAGACATTTATGTGGCCAAAAGACATGAAAAAATGGACATCACCACTGATCATTAGAGAAATGCAAATCAAAACCACGAGATACCATCTTATGCCAGTTAGAATGGTGATCATTAAAAAGTCAGGAAACAACAAATGCAGGAGAAGATGTGGAGAAACAGGAACGCTTATACACTGTTGATGGGAGTGTAAATTAGTTCAATGATTGTGGAAGACAGTGTGGCAATTACTCAAGGATCTACAACCAGAAATACCATTTCACCCAGCAATCCCATTACTGGGTATATACCCAAAGGATTATAAATCATTCTACTATAAAGACACATGCATACGTACGTTTATTACAGCACTATTCAGAAAATCACAATTGCAAAGGCTTAGAACCAACCCAAATGCCCATCAATGATAAACTGGTTAAAGAAAATGTGACACATATACACCATGGAATACTATGCAGTCATAAAAAAGGATGAGTTCATGTCGTTTGCAGGGACATGAATGAAGCTGGAAACCATCACTCTCAGCAAATTAACACAGGAACAGAAAACCAAACACCACATGTTCTCACTCGTAAGTGGGAGTTGAACAGTGAGAATACATGGACACAGGGAG